CATAGCTGCTAGCTTGTTATGCATTTACAAAGCATATAGGAGGGCAAAAATGTAAATTTGACAAGTTTGTGGAAAAAAGTTGGAAAATTTGCAAATTGCAGCCATTTAAAATTCGTATTTTGCAAATTGCAGCCATTTAAAATATTTTTTTGCACATTGCAGCCCAAAAGTTCGTATAAATTGTAAATTACAGCCCGATTCAATTTTTTCATCGTTTTACAAGTTGAAAAATCTTTGGTTAAGGTCTTATGGTCATTTTAGTCCTTAGGGACCCGAATTGAGCTCGGAATTAGCAAAAAAATAACGTAAGTATCTCATTTTGCATAACAAAAATGTATCGATTTGTGGAAAAATGTAAATATGAGACACTTTTGTTATTTTTTTGCTAATTCCGAGCTCAATTCAGGTCCCCAAGGACTAAAATGACTCCTAAAACCTTAACCGAAGATTTTTTAACATGTAAACCGATGAAAAAATTGAATCGGGCTGCAATTTGCAAAATAAGAACTCTAAATGGCTGCAATTTGCAAATTTTCCAAAAAAGTTGATTCTATAGTGGTACATTACAATGTATTATTATGCATATGTATAATGTGTCATCAAAGTATGAATTGTCTTAATAGTACTTTTTGTGCACTATTATGCATGTAGTGGTACTTTTTACCATCCTATAAACTGAATATTTTTCCTTCAAATATTCACCTATTATACATGCAGTGGTACATTTTTTCATCCTAAATGTTTGCTAATAAATACCAGTTATGCGCTAAGGGTTAACCCATATATAAGTAGCTGTCGTACCATTAGAGAGGAAGATTTACTAGATTATTTTTTTAGATGAAAAAAAGAGGGACCTTTATGGCTTTACGTTAAGATAGTCAACAATTCTCAAAGCTATCCATACGATTGGGCCATAACATATGATCTGATCTCACTAATTGCTTCAATTCAACGGTTAGTGAGCTAAGAGCCTAGAAGCTTGTGTTTTTTCATTTTATATAATCTTAAGACATGACCAAATGTAAAAGCATATGCTACTACAATGTTCGATTCTTATTTTAATTAGCATGCGAATTTATAGCATATATTATACTCCATATATACTCGAGTATTAGAGTCATGGAGGTTAGAAAACCAATTGCATTGATGAACGGTTTTATTAGCTTCCAAAATAATGTAACATGACTTATAATGAAACCAACTACTTTACAAATAATCTTAGGTCATCCTTAATGGCAAACTAACACCTTAGCTTGTATATTAGGGCTTGGCTTATCACATTTGATTTCAAATGCTTTCAAAAAGCTACAGTCTTCCAACAATAGACTATAACTAACACCTTAGCTTGTAGTTTGTATGCAATACTCAATTCACTTTTCTTTCTTTCTTTCTTTTTTTTTATTTTTTTTATTTTTTTTATTTTTTTTTCATTAATTTTTTTTTTTTGTAGTTTTGTTGAGTCACCTAAATACTAGTTGATTATTGTTTTGCCTCTCCAATGGTAAGTTTATAGCTTCACTTTTCATATAAACTAACCATTCGAGAAACTCTAAGCAATTACTTATTAGATGATGTATATATTTTGCTTGTTGTCGTCATAGGGTGAATCCTTGCTCATCCCACAAAAAGTAAATCAAATCGAGGATGTCTCCATCAATATAATATCATCCTCCAACAATTAATTAGGAATTATATACGGAGTATGTAGATTGGATAAAACATGTACTACCCATATTAATTATATTGCTTGAGAGAAATTATTCGATGTTATGATAGATGCTACATACGACCATTTAAAAAGGTATTGTTTTTGTAAAAAGAACAAAACAAAAACAAAAAAAAAAGGTATTGTTATCACATATTCACATACATCATTTCATTGATATTGAATTAATTAACCTAGTTATCACATATTAACTATATCATTTCATCAATATTGAATTAATTAATCTAGAGTTGTTTAAAAAAAACAAAAACAAAATAACAACAACAACAAAAGGCATTATTATTATTATTATTATTATTATTATTATTATTATTATTATTATTATTATTATTAAAAAGATGACAACTTTTATATATCGAGGATGTTAAAGTAAAACAGATCGAGTATGTGTATGACGTCTATACGAATATCATCAAAAACTGTGAACAAAACTAGTTTATTTAAACAATTCAATCCAGGGTACTATTTCTAGTAGGATCTTAAGTTAGTATATTCTTTCATCTTTTGAATCATGTAAAGAGCTAAGCTAGTTACTTTTACTTTGACCTAATTAAAACAGCCAGTAATTAGCATTTTAGCAAAGCATCACGTACTTTTGATTATGATACATGGTTTTAAAAATAAAATTAAGGCCCATAGAACAAGCAAACATTAATAAAAGCCTTTTCTTGTGGCTTAGATTAAGAATGAAGAAGATACTTATATTTAATTATGAATGATAATTCATCATTATCAAGCTGGATTGACACTTTCCTCATTGGTAACGATGTGGTCCACTATAAGCTCACTAATCAAGCCATGTATTCCTAATTTAGCCATATTAGAATATTAATATGGTCTAAACACCTAGGCTCCTACTTTTAGGCATATAATTAACTCCAAAATGAACCCTAATTAGAATTACTTCTATATATATTTAGTGTTCAAGTATTGTATTTGTCTTTTGTTTTTTTTGAAGGAAGTATTGTATTTGTCTTTTGTAATAAAACTCGATTCATGTTGAGATTGTTGACCATTAAGTATATGTATTCTTAATTTCTTATTATGTTAAAAGATCAAATTTAATATTATGAAGAAAAAAAAGTTAAAGGGTAATGACCTATCAGCCTTTAGGTAATGTTTGGGAGTTTATGACAAAAATATGAGTTGATCGATATAGGGCTGTTCAGATTGTGGTCTAGACCGCACCAAACCACAATAATGGTGGTTTGGTGTTGTTTGTGGTTTGAAAATTGTGGTGCGGTTTTCGAAAATGACCATACTATACTTTTGCGATTTGGTATAGTTTTCAAAACTTTTTAGACCGTCAAACCACAAACTATTATACCAAATTTATATATACCATAACTATTAAAAATATATAAAATAGTTTTAAAAATGATGTAATTTTTTACTATTAGATAATTAAAAGTTAAAAAAAAAAGAGTTTAATATTTAGACTATAAATTAATAATCACAAAATAAATAAAAGTCTTTTATTTTAAAAAAAATATATATATGGCTAAACCCCAAAGTGCACCGCGCCAAAATGCAGTTTGGTGTGCTTTGGGTATAAGTGCAATTTGAAAAAAAATACAACCGCAATTTTGTGGTTTGGGATCCAAATCGCACGTGAACACCCCTAAATCAATGTAAGCACACTAGTTTTTCATAATTCATTCTTTTAAAGTTTTATTCCTTTTATATGCAGCTTTGCTTTAATATTTTTCATTTTTGAAATTAAATTTGCACATCACGTTATGAGTGCTGTTTTATATAGTATATATGGATTGCGAAGTTATTAATTACTTTCTCCGTTTTAATTTGCGCGCGACACATAATTTTAGATAATTTAATGTAATTGAGTTTAATAAGTATAATTAGTTGCACTTTGGATTATTACATCACATATTCGATCAACAATTGCCTTAATAAAAATACCATTAACTAATACAACGGTTACACATAAATAATTACTTAACGAATCAACAACATTAATTGTGAGATTTTAAATGACTGAAATTTTCTCTATGCAGGCGGATGCACGATGCTCCGTGCATCCGTTTTCTCTTAAAAAAGGCGGAATGAACATTCCGTTGTTCAGTAAAGAACATACATTTGTTTTGTAAAAAACATATAGCTATTTCATAAAGAACATCACATATAGATGTATTGTAATGAACATATAGTTGTTTTATAAAGAACATATGACTATTTTGTAAAAAAAACATCCAACTTCATGTTCTTTATATACATCTAAAGAACATCCGTAATATTAATTAAAAACATGATAATTAGAGGTGATCAACTTCGGTCCGGCCCGAAAATAAGGCGCGTTAGACAAGCCTAAAAATGCATTTTTAGTTAAAAATCCAAACTCGGCCCGATAAAAACCCGAAAAGCCCACTACATTTTTCGGGTTTTTTGGACACGAGATATTATGTTAAGGCCCACTCTGACCCGAATTTTTTATCACCTCTAATGATAATATAATGTAATGAACATTATTTTTATTCAATCACCATAATCTAAAGACAAAATTCAAAGAACATTCAAAATAAACAATTAACATATGTCACAAATAAAAGTACATTCTGACAATCAAAGAACATGAAGATAAAGAACATTATTTAACTAGACGTTATGTTCTTTACAATTTTATAACATGTTCTTTGCACTTTAACTGAATGTCTTCTACATTTCTATATGATGTTTTTTACAATTCTATAATATGTTCTTTTTACTTAAACTAAATGTTCTTTATATTTCTATGCAATGTTCTTTCCGCTTTTTTTTAGAAGAGATGCACCATGTGAATTGTGCATCCGCCTGCACGAACCATGCATTATTTAATGACCTTTTTTTTACTTTCATTTTATTAAAACCAACCAATAATGATGTACATTATTATACATAATGTACATCATTCTTAGAGTGTAAATCATGATTACATACAACCAATAATGTACGTCATTCTTAGAATGTAAATCATAATTACTGTCAATAATGTACATTATATACATTGACTCATTATGTATAATTACAGTCAATTACCAGCCAACATAAGAATAAGTTAGTCTTTTAATTAACTATAATCACACTCCATATACTAAATTGAATCAACCAATTTACACACCGTACTTCTGATATACAATAAAATACCTCGATATAAACTCTTTGTCTTTGTTATAAGATAACAACTTTAATTTACAAGTAGCAACCAAGATGTAGACTTATATAAGTCAAACATCTTAAGAACCATTCATTCCAAACAACATAAAAACCCTTTTTTAAAAACTCACAACTTCTTCTCCTTCCATTATTTCTCCTTCTCACTTCCATTTTTTTTCAAACTCCAACATTTTTTTCTCCCTTTATTTTCCTCCCTCCTCCAACCCCACGTGTGCTCTCAACCACTATTTCTCATGAGCACCCAAGCACCACCCTCACCACCCCAAGGGCTAACCCAAGAAGAATACACCACCCTTCAACCCCTCATCCAAACCTACCACACCTTCCACCCTACACCCCCCAACACCACCACCTCCCTCATCACTCAACGCATCGACGCCCCCGCCGACATTATCTGGCCTTATGTCCGTCGTTTCGACAACCCCGAACGATACAAACACTTCATCAAAAGCTGCCGTTTAACCTCAGGAGACGGCTCCTCCGTTGGTAGTGTACGTGAAGTTAGCGTAGTATCCGGTCTTCCTGCTTCTACCAGCACCGAACGCCTCGAGCTTCTTGATGATCAACACCGCGTGCTTAGCTTTCGTGTGGTGGGTGGACAACACCGCCTTCGTAACTACAAATCTGTTACCTCCGTGAATGAGTTTTTCGAGGATGATAATAACAAAAAAGTTTATACAATTGTTTTGGAATCGTATATTGTTGATATTCCAGAAGGTAATACTGCTGAAGATACCAAGATGTTTGTTGATACTGTTGTTAAGCTTAATCTTCAAAAACTTGGGGTTATTGCTATGTCTGATTTGCAAGGTAATAATAATGATGAATAATTAATTATTTGGGATTTTTTTTTTATTATTCAAGAAAAAAAAAAATTAAATTTTATTGGAATGAATGGATAGTTTCTCAAAAATTGAGGCTACCCTCTTCATAATTAATTATTATTATTATAATTATTTTTTATTCATGTATTAATTTAGCATGGATTTGGAGATTATCTTGGTCAATGATCGATTAGTTTTTTTTTTTATTCTTTTTTTTTTTTAATTGTTGTTGAAAAGAAAAGTACTTACTAGTTGTTATTAGTTGGAGTTATTTCTTGTACTTTTGCATTGACATATTCTATGATTTTTTAATGGTTAGATTACTTGGATACTACCTTCGTTGTTTGTTATTTCAACAACGGCCTTAGTAATTTTCTTAAATGCAAGCTTTCTTTTAAGTTACACATTTTGTATATGTATGTTTATAGTCTTTATACTATTCATTTTTTATATATATATATAATTTTATTAATGTTTGGATGTTTGGTGATTTTTACATAATAAGAGAAACCGTCATTTTGAATTTTTAGCGGTTGATTTCATATTTTTAACGTTTTTATAATAAAATTACTCCGTAATAATTATGTTATGTGAGTACGTATAATTACATTGTGAAATTCAAAGTATGTATGTAAACGAAAAAAAGAATACATATAGGTAATATTATTAGACAGATTACTCCTCTTATATGTTGATAAGTATATTAGGTGACTCGTACTTCGTAGCTTTGTCCGCCCGATCGGGCGGACATTGCCCGGTCTGACCGGGCGGAAGAAGAAGAGGTGCCTGGCAAATTCGTTGAAGAAGCTGCTCTCGCGCCCGACCGGGCGAGCCTTCGCCCGACCGGGCGAGCCTTCGCCCGATCGGGCAGACCTTGCCCGGTCTGACCGGGCGGTGGGGGTTGGATACGTTGAAGCATTCGTATGGAGTTTTCTTCTCGCGCCCGATCGGGCAGACCTTGCCCGGTCTGACCGGGCGGAGAAGGAAAAATACGGAACGCGGATTTTGCGGTTTTAAGTTATCTTATTTTATTATCTTTTTGCCCAAGTATCTTTTAATTAGGGATTAATATAAAACCTCCCTAATATCAGTATTAGGGTGAAGAGAGACAGAGGGAGAGCCGTTCTTGAGAAATACAAGAATCATCTTTGTAATCTTTGCAGTTTATAGTGAAATCATTCGATCTCGGTGCCCGTGGACGTAGCTATCACATCGATAGTGAACCACGTAAATTCTTGGTGTTGTTCTTATTGTTTGCATTGAATTTCTTTATTGTTTTCTTGTTTGTTTACGACCTTTGCTTCCGCTGTCGCACAACAATTGGTATCAAGAGCTCAGGTTCAATCCTTGGAGAGTTTCTTGAAGATAACAATGGCAGGAGATTCAACAATAAGAATTGAGAAGTTTACCGGGAAAAATAGTTTCGGGCTATGGCAAATTAAGATGAAGGCTCTGTTAAAACAACAGCAGATATGGCGTCCGTTGGCTCCAAAGAGTACTACTTCGGAGTCAGGAGACGGACCGACTGACTCGCAGTTAGAAGTTATGGAAGAGAAGGCACACTCTACCATATTACTTAGTCTTGATGATCAAATCATCACGGAGGTTGCTGATCAGGAAACGGCGGCTGGATTGTGGCTGAAGCTGGAGTCATTGTATATGACTAAGTCGTTGACCAACAAATTATTACTGAAACAGCGGTTGTTTAGCCTCCGGATGCAGTCAGGTACTTCCTTACGGGAACATCTAGAAAAACTTAACTCTATTTTGCTTGATTTACGTAATTTAGATGTTAAAATTGATGATGAGGATGCTGCGTTGATTTTACTTGTATCTCTACCGTCTAGCTTTGAGAATTTTGTAGAGTCTTTTGTTGTTGGTAAGGATTCTATAACCTTAGAAGAAGTGAAGGCAGCACTTCATACTAGGGAACTCAGAATGAAAGCTACGAGTGATAATGGGGATAATGGTAGTGGGTTATTTGTTAAGTCCGGAAAGTCTAAAAAGAATAAGGGGTTTAACAAGGGGAACAATGCTGGGTCGGGTGCTGGAAACGGCAAGGATGGATCTAGTAAAACTACTACTAAAACATGTTATTACTGTAAAGAACCGGGTCACTTTAGGAATAATTGTCCGGTGAGGAAAAACAAGTCCCAGGCTGCTGTAGTTGAAGAGAAACCGAATGAGAGCTATAATTCAGAGGAAGATTTAGCATTAGTCAGTTCTGCTAGGTCTGATGATTTATCTGATAACTGGGTTCTAGATTCGGGGTGTTCGTTCCATATGTGTCCACGTCGAGATTGGTTTGATACATATGAACCTCGCAATGGGGGTATGGTTATAGTCGGTAACAATGCTCCATGTAAGGTCACAGGTATTGGTTCCATGAGGTTGAGGACTGTTGATGGGCGGAGGTTAACTTTGACTAATGTACGGCATGTTCCTGCTTTAGGAAAGAATCTGATTTCATTGGGTACCCTGGATGAATTGGGGTACAATGGTGTGTTTTCAGATGGGGAGTTGTGTATTTTCAGAGGTTCTGAGTTGGTACTTAAGGGTATCAAAAGGAACACCCTCTATGTTTTTGAGGGTGTTACACTGCCTAGTTCTGCGGTTTGCGCATCTGTATCTCACCAGGAGATGACTAAGATTTGGCACATGAGGCTTGGTCATATGGGGGAGAAGGGGATGCAGCTATTGTCCAAGAGGGGTCTTCTATCCGGGGTCAAGGTTGCCAACCTTGAATTTTGTGAGCATTGTGTGTTTGGTAAGAAACACAGGTCAAAGTTCAGCAAGGGTGCTCACATTACTGATGCAGTGCTCGATTACATCCATTCAGATTGCTGGGGTCCATCTAGAGTTGAAGGTATGGGAGGTTACCACTATTTTGTGTCATTTGTTGATGACAAGTCCCGATACACATGGCTTAGGTTGCTTAAGTCAAAGGATGAGGCCTTCAAAGTTTTCAAGCAATGGAAAGCTTTGGTGGAAAATCGACAAGGAAGGAAGATCAAGAAGCTACGAACGGACAATGGGCTAGAGTTTTGCAAAGACGAGTTTAATCAGTTCTGTGCAGATGAGGGTATAGGTCGGCATCATACTGTCAGGAAGACACCACAGCAGAACGGTGTAGCAGAACGGGTTAATCAGACACTGCTAGAGAGAGTTCGATGCATGCTCTCTAATGCAGGGCTTGGGAGGAGGTACTGGAGTGAAGCTGTGTTAACAACTTGTTATGTCATTAATAGGGGTCCTCATTCTGGAATTGATTCCAAGATTCCGTTTGAGATCTGGAGTGGTAAGTTGCCTAATTTTTCGAATTTGAAGATTTTTGGTTGTGTTGCTTATTATCATGTTATTGAGGGTAAGCTGGATCCACGAGCCAAGAAGGGGTGTTTTGTTGGGTACGGGGATGGTGTGAAGGGGTTTAGAATTTTTTCACCTTCGGAGGGTCGGGTCATTCTTAGTAGGGATGTTACTTTCGATGAAAACACCATGTATTCAATTAAAAATGCAGAGATTTCAGATTTGAGAAGGGAAGGAGACAATTTATTACAGACAGATGGGGTACTTGAGGTACATCAGTCTACCATTGCTGATTTACCTCGGGTACAATATATTGATGATGATGCTGATGTTCCAGTGCCGGGTACTCCTGAACCTGAGATTACTCCTACTCATTCTAACTCTGGGGATGAGGTGGAGCAATCTAATCAGGGGTCATCTAGTCAACCTGACACCATTCTTGAGATGCCTAAACGAGTTATCAAGAAGCCTATTAGATTGATTGAAGAGATGGAGGGAAGAAATTGCTGTGTTGATGCGATGACAGGTTATGCATTGAGTGTAGCTGATGATGTAGAGTCATTTGAACCTGCCACATATAAACAAGCAATTAGTTGTAGTGAGTCTGCGCAATGGCTTGCCGCAATGGGTGAAGAGATGCAGTCTCTTTACAAGAACAGAGTGTGGGAACTGGTAAAGGTACCGGAAGGGAGGAAGCTTGTGGGTTGTAAATGGATTTACAAGAAGAAAGAAGGGTTGTCGGAAACTGAGCAAATACGTTTTAAGGCTAGGCTAGTTGCTAAGGGGTTCAGTCAGGTAGAAGGGGTTGATTTTGTTGAGATATTCTCACCTGTGGTTCGACATACTTCTATCCGTGTGTTATTGTCAATTGTAGCACATTTTGATCTTGAGCTGGAGCAGTTGGATGTTAAAACGGCTTTCCTTCATGGCGATTTGGAGGAGGAGATTCTGATGAAGCAGCCCGAAGGATTCGAAGCTCCTGGAAAGGAACACTATGCCTGCAGATTGCTAAAGTCATTGTATGGACTTAAGCAATCCCCCCGACAGTGGTACAAAAGGTTTGATTCTTTTATGGTTTCACAAGGTTTTGACAGGAATTCATATGATTGCTGTGTGTATCATAGTAAGCTGGATAATGGTTCCATGATTTATCTTTTGTTATATGTTGATGACATGTTGGTTGCCACAAAGAATAAATCTGATATTGCTAGATTAAAGGAGATGCTTAACTCGGAGTTTGACATGAAAGACTTGGGTGCAGCTAGGAAGATTTTGGGTATGGAGATCTACAGGGATCGGGCTAGAGGTAAGCTTTTCTTGACTCAGAAAAGCTACATTGAAAAGATTTTGTCTCGTTTTGGGATGGAAAAATCGAAGCCTATAAGTACGCCAACTACTGTTAGTTGTAAGTTGTCTTTGTCTATGTCACCTCAATCAGAGGAGGAGTTGTCTTATATGTCTAGAGTTCCATATGCAAATGCGGTTGGTTGTTTGATGTATGCTATGGTCTGTACTAGGCCGGATATTGCGCATGCCGTTAGTGTTGTAAGCAGGTTTATGGCTCGACCTGGGAGGGAACACTGGCAAGGGGTGAAAAGGATTTTTCGCTACCTGAGAGGGACAGCTGATATTGGTCTTGTGTACGGGAATGATAAGGAATGCTTGGTCACTGGGTACAGTGATTCTGATTATGCAGCTGATGTGGATACCAGGAGGTCTGTGACTGGTTATGTGTTCACTTTGGGTGGTTCTGTGGTTAGTTGGAAGTCTACATTGCAGTCATCAGTTACGTTGTCAACTACTGAAGCTGAGTATATGGCTTTAACTTCTGCAGCTAAGGAGTCTATTTGGCTCAAAGGCCTAGTAGGTGAACTGGGTATTGCACAGGATTTTGCTACAGTGTATTGTGATAGTCTAAGTGCGATTTGCTTAGCTAAAGATCAAGTACACCATGATCGGACGAAGCACATTGATGTCAGGTATCATTTCTTACGTACTGACAAGAGGATTAAGGTGAAGAAGATTGGGACTGCTGACAACCCGGCTGATTTCTTCACTAAGCCTGTTCCGTTTAGCAAGTTTAAACATTGCTTAGACTTGCTAAATATTGATTACTACGTGAT